CCCCCAAGCCACCAGTGTCCCCCACCTGACCCCCCCGTGCAAAAAGGCCACCGTGTCTCCTGGGGACACCAGCCCTGCTGCCCCCCCTTTCCCCCCTTCCCGGGAGACCCCTGGGAGCCCCTCCTTTGGGGGGGCCCTTGGGGACACACCAGCTCTATTGGGGTCACGGGGAGTCACGGAGGCTGCGAACACAGGCTGGACGGAGCCGCCTCCCTCCTGGGGACGCTGCAGATGGACACAGGGACAAGACCCCCTTGCTGAGTGGTTTATTGGGCGGGCGTGGGACAAAATACACCTGCTGTCCCCTCAGTGCTCCTTGTCCCTGTGCGTGACAAGGTGGCACAGGGGACACACACCGCGGATAGCAGGTCCCTGCAGGTGCCACCACCATGCGGGGGCTGTGGGGGACACACAGGGTCCTTGGGATGGAATCCCAGGGTCTTGGGATTGGGGACCATGTGCAACAGGTGAAGATCTTGGGGACAGGGTCCTCGTGGGACACACCGGGCCCTGGGGTGGGGGCTGTGTCCCTGGGGGCAGGCAGAGCCAGGGGTCCTGGGCACCCCTGTCCCTTAAGTCTCCTGCTGTCCCATTCATTCAGGTAGGCAGAAGCCAGCATAGGGGACCATGATGATGACAATGACAGCGATGGCTGTGGGAGCCACCTCACTCCCACGGTGGTCCTCTTCGCACTCCCAGGTGGCCCCAGCTGTCACTGTCCCCACCCTTGGCACCGGCCCTGCCTTAGATCATCATCACTGTCCCTCCAATGAGCTGGGGGGTCCCGGTGCTGCCCAGGAGGTTCTGGGGGGCACCACTGGGGTGGTCCTGACCGTCAGGGTGATCCTGACCCCAGGGCTACCTCTGACACACCCACAGACACACTGTGCCCAGACCCCCAGCACTGGGGGTGACCCCAACACCTTGAGATGTCCCCAGACCCTGGTGTGCCCCCATGTGCCAGGGTCGTCCCAGACTCCCTTGGGTGGCCCAGACCCATGTGGTGGCCCTAGATGCCCAAGGATGTCTCTGGACCCCCAAGATGGGGGATGGGGGCTCCACACACCTATGGTGGCCCCACAGTCCCAGGGCTGACACCAACAGCCTTGAGGGGGTCCCAGACCCCCAAAGGGACTCCAGCACTTCAGGGTACCCTCAGACAGACCCCAACAGCTTGGGGTCCCCCAGGAGGACACCAACACCCTGAGATGCCCCCAACTCCCAGGGGGATCCCAGCACTCTTCGGGGGTGCCCCAGGCCTCAGAGGCACCTCCACACCCCAACCCAGAGCCTCTGGGGGACCCCAACACCTTGGGCTGCATCCACACCCCCAGGGGACCCCAGGACCCCCCAAGGGCGCCCCACACCCAGCTCCTGGGGGTGTCCACACTCACAACCCCCACCACAACTACGGGCCAGGGGGTCCCCCAGGGCACCCAGGTTTTTAACCCCCCTTTATCACCCTCAGCTCAGTGGGGTGTGGGGCATGGGGGAGTGACTAGACCAAACCTGGGTGTCATCAGAGAGGGGGTGACACTTTTTGGCTGCTTGGGAAGGGGGCTGAGCTGTGACACCCACTGGAAAAGCCCCAGGGGGGGGTCACCCCTGTGCCCCCCTGTTTAGGGTGTCCTGGAGGTGCCCCAGGCCTCAGAGGCAGCCCCACACCCCAACCCAGAGCCTCTGGGGGACCCCAACACCTTGGGCTGCATCCACACCCCCAGGGGACCCCAGGACCCCCCAAGGGCGCCCCACACCCAGCTCCTGGGGGTGTCCACACTCACAACCCCCACCACAACTACGGGCCAGGGGGTCCCCCAGGGCACCCAGGTTTTTAACCCCCCTTTATCACCCTCAGCTCAGTGGGGTGTGGGGCATGGGGGAGTGACTAGACCAAACCTGGGTGTCATCAGAGAGGGGGTGACACTTTTTGGCTGCTTGGGAAGGGGGCTGAGCTGTGACACCCACTGGAAAAGCCCCAGGGGGGGGTCACCCCTGTGCCCCCCTGTTTAGGGTGTCCTGGAACCAGCTGGGGTTTGGGGTGCTGCTGCTGAAAGGAGGGGGCAGCTCTTGGTGGGGGTCTGTGCCCCCTTTTTTGGAGGGGTCAGCCCTGGGAAGGGGAGACAGGGGTATCCCCAGTCTCTGTCCCCCATCCTTTCCCTGTTGCGTTGACAAGATGGGGGGGGATCCCCCAAATCCCACAGCCCACCACCCCAATGACCCCCAAACAGCCCCCCAAAACCACCCTCTGATCTCTCAGGGGGACACAGGCTGGGGAAAGACCCTCAGCTGCCCCCCCCAGACATGGGGGGTCACGGAGGAGCTGTGTTTGGCGCAGCCCCGCAGGAGGTGTCCCCACAAACCCCATTTATTGGGGGGTCAAGGAACCGGCTCCACCGGCGGCAAATCCCACGTCCCTGGTTGAGCTCTGAGCAGGATCTTCAGCCTCCTGCCCCCTCCATCTTCCTCCTCCTCCTCCTCCCGGAGTCCGGGCTCACTGGCCCATCATGCAGGCCATCTTGCAGGCCACGGCCGAGATGAGGGCGGCCCCGCGCCCGCTGCCTTCCTCGGACTGGATGAAGGTGATGTCGCAGCCGGGCGTGAGCTGCCGCACCGTGGCGTGGAAACGGTCCTTGAAGCTGCAGGGGAAACGGGGGAGGGGAAAAACATGGGGGTCTTGGAGAAGAGGACCGTGGATGGGTTGAAAAAGGTGTGGAAGAGCTGGGGATCATCCGAGCCCAGAGTGGGTGAAGTTGGAGGGACCTTAAACATCATTGAGTCCCACCCCCTGCATGGGCAGGGACACCTCCCACCAGCCCAGGCTGCTCCAAGCCCCATCCAACCTGCCCTTCAACACCCCCAGGGATGGGGCAGCCACAGCTTCCCTGGGCACCCTGGGCCAGGCTCTCACCACCCTCACACCAAAGAATTTATTCCAATTGTAATCTAAAATAATCTCATCAATCTCATCCAAAGATCACCAAGTCCACCCGTTCACCCAGCATTGCCCAGTCCCTCAGCACCATCTCCAGGGCTTGGAAACCCCTCCAGGGATGGGGACCCCCGTGCCCTGGGCAGCCTGGGCCAGGGCCTGACAACCCTTTCCATGGAGAAATTATTCCCAAGATCCAACCTCAACCTCCCCTGGGCAACTTGAGGCCATTTCCTCTTGTCCCATCCTTGTTCCTGGGGAGCAGAGCCCGACCCCCCCTGGCTCCAACCTCCTCTCAGGCAGTTGCAGAGCAGAAGGTCTCCCCTCAACCTCCTTCTCTCCAGGCTGGACACCCCCAGCTCCCCCAGCTGCTCCTCACAAGTTCTCCAGAGCCTTCTTGTTCTCCAGACCCTTCCCCAGCTTCCTTGCCCTTCTCTGGACACCCTCCAGCCCCTCCATGTCCCTTTTCTGAGCCAAAACTGACCCCAGGATTCAAGGTGCCCCCTCACCAGTGCCCAGCACAGGGGGACAATCCTGCCCTTGTCCTGCTGGCCACACTGCTGCTGACACCAGGCAGGGTGCTGGTGGCCTTCCTGGCCACCTGGGCACACACTGGCTCATGTTCAGCTGCTGTGACCAGCACCCCCAGGTCCTTCTCTTCCCCAAGCTCAAAGTGTGTCCAGCAGTGGAAGAACCCCAGGAATCCTCACCTGGGATGGAGCTTGTAGACTGATCCATCGACACCCACAGTGATCTTGAGGGTCTCTTGGCTCCTGCTCTCCCTCATACGGTTGATGACCCCGGCCAGCCCGGCCGAGCACATCTGGGCCGCACGGGTGGAGACGCTCTCGCAGACCATGCGCACGATGTCACAGTCTGTCCCCGAGGGCAGCAGCTCAAAGCCCGTCAGGATGTTGTAGATCTGCTTGCGGTCACCAGAGTCACTGGGATGGGGAGAGAGGGGAGTCAGGGTGCGGGGGCACACGGGGACCCCCGGTGGGGCTGGGGGGAGTGACAGGATGGGAGACCCTGATATGGGGCAGGTGTAGGGATCTGGGGGGACAGGATGGGAGGCCCTGATATGGAACACTCGGAGTAGGTTGATGTGGGGGTCTGTCCAGGTCTGCTCCTGCCCCCTTTGAGATGCATCCCCCCCACCTCTCGATCTGTGACACGAAGCGGGTCTCGAAGCTCCCACGGGTCTTGAGCTTCTCGGAAGCGGCGCCATTGAACAGCAGGTCCTCGTCCACCAGCCGCAGCAGCACCAGCCGC